AGTTGGGGCCAAAGCCCATACGGACGAGTGTGGTGGACACAGAGGTCCACCCCACTTTGTCATAAGTTTTTCCATGTCTAGAAGTAAGACTGCTACTTCCCGTTTTTATGAGCTTATGATTTCCAATGCCCGAACTGTAGATATTATGTTTTCAAATATCAATTGTCCCTTGACAAAGACCCATTGCTCCCAGCCTACTAGAGAGGGTAGCTCAGAGGCTAATCTAATAGCTAGTGTTTTAACTAGTATTTTATACGTCACATTTAAAACAAAAATAGGACGGGAATTTCAGACTTCCTTTTTATCACCTTTCTTGTAGAGAAGGGATATCACCCCTTTTACCAAGTTAGGAAGAAGGGTACCAGTGTTCAGGGCCTTGTTGTAAATCTGACATAAAAAAGGGCCGAAGTCGGACCAGCAAGCTAGAAACAACTCTACCAGTATACCGTCGACATTTAGACACTTCCCTAGGGTCATTTGCTTGACAGCTCTGTGTAACTCTAGGATTTTATGTGCTAGTGTTTGCAGATATACTCACCTTAGTTATGTCCCAAAAACAAGAGAGCCTTCCGCCAAGTTAGAGTAGAAGTGGTCAAAGGGTCTCCTTGTGGAAATGGTGTCCCGGAAGTAATCAAGGGCGTATCTCTGAGGCTATCGTTGCCTAAACATAAAAGAGATGGATCAGTTCCCTAACTAAGGACTTTATTTGTTTTAACGTAAGCTTTGTCATTCTATCATACCCCACTATGCCCCTCATAGAAAGTCACTTCAACCATTCAGCCTGCTTCTGGAGGTCCAAAGATTCAAGTTGGCAATTTCCCCCCCCCCTCTTTTCAGACCAGTAATATTTTGCAAAGGGGTCTTGGCCCATCCGCGACTCAACCATCTGCACTAATTTCTGGAGTTATAGCTCCTTTCATTGCCTCTTCGCTGCCTTGATACGGGAGAAAACAATTAAGGCTTTGCAAATGATACCTAGACCGACTTCTGAGTGAAAGAGAATCTTGGCTTCTTCCCACTGTGACATTTGTGAATTGACCCAAGCCACTATATCTTTATCCTTAAGGTTGGCAATATTCAAGCGAACGAGAGGGCAAACTTTTTGTATCAAATCTTTAACCATTATATCAACCATCACTGGGTAATGGTCTGATATGGAGAAAATAGTATACTCTGCAAATACACAGCGATCCCAAAGATCGCCCCTCAAGGCCATGAAGTTTAGCCTTCGTCGTGGTTGGGGCGATGTATCGGAAGGTCTTGGACCATACAAAGTATAGCTATGGTCTTCCGCATGCATCACATTGTAAGCATCGACTAGAGATTGTGAATCCAACAGGGATAAAAACAATGTGTTGTCATATCTCAAGGGAGTGGGGGATAGCGAATCCAACCCTGAATTCAGAGTGGTATTCCAATCCCCCACGACTGCCAGGTTTTCCACCTCTGGTAAACACGCAGAAAAGTTGACTAAAAAATTCGTTCTCTCATAGTATATGGCCGGGGCATAGATCGTCATCACTACCCATTCCTCTCAACCAATTACCAATTTGACCCAAGCCCAATGCCCGCCTGGGTCTGCATATTGATCTAATATTTCACATTCGAGGTCTTTGTGTATTAAGAGTGCAACTCCCCCTTTGCACCCATCGGCGGGCGCCCAGATCTGTGGTCCATGCCACCAACCTTTAATCTCTTGGATTTTACCAGAGTCCAACTTGGTTTCCTGAAGGCCAATGATTTGGACATTCATCGAGTGGAACCGGGATAAAAGCCTCAAACGTTTATTTTTATCGTTCGCATCCTATAGACCTTTCGCATTCCAAGTTAGGAGTTTGATCTTATTGGGCAAGACCATTAGATTGGTCCACACCCTCGAGATTTTGGATCCCGGGCACGTTGAATGGGATGCAACCTTTTTCTTCAGTGCTTAGTTCATTGCTAGGATGTCCCGGGGGAAGACCCCCCTACAAAACTTCACCATAAAACACCTTCGAAGACAACAACGACGAAGCCTCGATTCTTGCAATGCAGTCCACAATCTCAATGGCAGAGAGATTAGTGTGAAGTTGGATTGAGGATAGCGATTCACTTTTGCATTGCACTAAGTCGTGTAGAGGTATCCAATATACTTGTGTTGAGCACCAATTTTTGAAAGAGGCTGATATCTCCTGAATAGTCATAAAGGATATGGGCAACAATGCCTTCCTTTTGTCCGGCGGGGTAGCCACGTGTCTGCCCATTTTGGGTTCGGACAGAACTGTACACGAACCCAAGTAATGAAGCACTTGTTCGTTAACTAATTTAACCACAAGGTCGTTTGATGGTGACCCTGCAACTTCTTTCGAAGGGAGGGTCAATGAATCATCAGTCGCTTGTTTGGTTAGGAGCATCGTCCCCTGGGTAGAGTTAGAAAAGATTAATGAAATCAAAATTTCTTGTATTTTCCCTTTCAATCTGTCCGTTTTACTCAGTGTTATCATTGGACCTGCCAACGCCAAATATTTTTTGACCGATCTCACTTTGTGACCTCGCTTATTCAAGGAGGGCTTGTTGGCCAACACAGAGCCTGATGGTTCCCTAAGGTATTGTTCCTGTAGCGTCGGGAGAGGGACATCATAATTAGTACGGGAATGTTTACTCCGAGTGCACATCACCAGGGCCTTAGAGTCTTTTAGGGGGTCGAAGTGGATAACCCCCTCATCAAATAAACCTGCCACTGCGAAAGCGAGAGTCTCGACAAAGGGGTCTGAATGTGTCCCGACCACTCCTTGTTCCTCTTCGAGGTACCCGCACCCTTCAGCTTTTGAACCCGTTTCCTGCACTCATTTTTTGAGTCCGAAGAGTCATAGGCAGTGCAGTGATCTACGTCGAAGAGTCAAGGGGGCTCGCTGCACTACTTATGACTCGTGAAAAAAATCAAGAGTGCGGCATGAGTTGTCAGAGTCCCGAAATGGCCTACAGTTCGGCCGTGGCTGCACTTACTCGTGATAGTCCTGCTCATGAAGCACTCTTGAGACGCTGGCAGTTGTCGTAGAGCGCAGTGCAACGTGGTTTGTCCGCCCAGACCCAGGCTTGCTCTAGAAATCCCGTGCCCTTTCAAGAAACCGTCTGACCACCCTTGCAAAAACCAAGGTTGCAGATAGGAGAGCAAGAGTGCTCTAGATGACTTTGTCCGACGGCGCCCTGACAGCTCATGAAATGCAATTTCCCGAGCGACAAGGCAAGAGTAGTGCAGCGACCACAACTCTTGACGTTTGCAAGAGTGACGTTTGACAGCTCTTGATGCGGTTTCCGACGGCCAATTCACAGGCAAGAGTAGTGCAGCGACCACAACTCTTGACGTTTGCAAGAGTGACGTCTGACAGCTCTTGATGCGGTTTCCGACGGCCAATTCACGAGTAAGTGCAGCGATGCGCAGCACATTTCATGAGTAGTGCAGCGAGGCCCATAGGGCCTACGTCTGTGTTTTTTGGCTCCGATCCCCTCTCCTTATGAGCATCAGGGGGCTGAATCAGCAGTCTCTGATCAATACCACCCGGTGGGACCAACGGCATATCTCTAGGTGGTGGGCGCCGAGCATGCCCAGGAAGGCACACGAGGCCATTGGGGATTGAACCCAAGACCTCCTGAATGCCACCTGCATGCCTTACCAACTGAGATAGGCGGCTGCCGTGGGCAGTGGGCCCTTATAAAGGAAAAACCGAGTTGGAAAAGAAGGAAAAAAAGAAAAAAAACGAGTTTGTATAATGCCCATTTAGATTGAAACCTTTGCAGAATACCCCTGTCACTCTGCTCTTTCCCCGCACACATTCTGTCCCGGATGGTTTTCGACCCGGTTTGGCCCCAACCCGATTGCCCAAGTTAGACAAATAGCCAGCCCCCTTCATCTGCCAATCTAGCTGAATGGGACGCCCGAATTCAAAGTTTCAAGCGTCATTGGAAATTGCCCTCGGTCTTTCCTCCACCTCAGACCTCTCCTCTCCCCACGGTGAGTGTCCTCCATCTCCCTTTCCATTCCTCCTTAACACCCTGTATTCGTCCCCTTGGCTGCCACGACATTGCCCTTCTTCTTCTCCTTCAACGACGACCTACTGTGTGTGTGTGTGTGTGCTGTCAAGTTCGCTATGCACACCTCCGCCCCCAAAAGCATGAACTGTGGCATGCCAGACTGTTTCGTCGGACTTTCACCGACTTGTGTGTGTGTGTTGTCATATCCGCTATACACTCAAAAAGGCATGACTTTACCAGACTGTTTCGTCGGACTTTCACGACTCATCACACACACACACACACACACACAGAGAGAGAGAGAGAGAGAGAGAGAGAGAGAGAGAGAGAGAGAGAGAGAGAGAGAGAGAGAGAGAGAGAGAGAGTTGTCATATTCGCTATACACTCAAAAAAAGCATGACTGTACCAGACTGTTTCGTCGGACTTTCACCGACTCATCAGGAGGAGAGAGAGAGTGTGTGTGTGTGTGTGTGTGTGTGTGTGTGTGTGTGTGTGTGTGTTGTCATCACTACTGTCTGTGTTCACGACAGTGCCTGAACTGGCACCTCCCCGTCTTCCTCCTCCCTCTCTTCGTTTTCATCCTCCTCCTCCTCTCTCTCGTCTTTCTTATCCTCCTCCTCCTCCCTCTCGTTTTTCTCTTCCTCCTCTTTCTCTTCTTCGTCCCGCGGTGGAATGCCACCCTCGACGTCTTTAGGGGAAAAACGTGGTTGCTTCTCGGCGCGCAGCTGTCGCCAGATAACAGGACATTTGGACCGACGAGCTGCCACCTCATCAATCAGGTCACATGATATGAGATGGATCTATCGGGCAACGAATTGGACGGCTGGTGTTGCTCGCCAGATGGTTGCCGCAATACCTCTCCCCCGGCTTGTCGTTTTTCTACCCTCTTCAACCGAATAGAACGCCCGGTCATTATGGCTGCATCTAGACTCGAAGTCGGCCCAGACACGGCTATAATGCCGGGCGTTCTATTCAGGTGAAGACGGTAGCGGTCATGCGATATGGGTATGTGTGCCTCATCCTTCCAGCAGATACCTTACCGCGATCACCCCACCTACTTTACCGCCATTATGTATTTTCCCGCTATCGGACAATTTCCCGCCATCTGCGACCGCGACCGCGACCGCCAAAGGGATGGACTGCGTCTCTCCCCCATAGGAATCTTCTGCCTCTCTCCTGCCATAGCAGCAGCAGAAACGAGAGCATGATCCATAGATTGGAGGCGGCTGGAGTAGGAGTAGGAGGAGGAGGAGGAGGAGGAGGAGAAGACGGTGTAGAAAGGAGGAGGAGGAGGGAGAAAGAGGAGGAGGAGGATGAAAGAGGAGAGTGTGGGAGGGGAAGCGAGCAGGAGGAGGAGGGAGAAAGAGGAGGAGGACGAAGGAGGAGAGTGTGGGAGGGGAAGCGAGCAGGAGAAGGGAAGAGGTGGAATATAGTGGGGAAGGAGAAGGTGCAGGGAGGAGGAGGAGGAGGAGGAATGTACATCACTCTTGGCGTTGTGTGGGGGCGAGCCGAGGCCGGAGAAAGGCTTACGTAAGTAGTCTTCTTCTTGCCCGTTCTTTTTCTTCCCTTTTTTTTTTTTTTTTAACGCTGGCTACCGTGCTCACCTGAATAGAACGCCCGGTCATTATAGCCGTGTTTGGTCTAATTTTCAGTCATGATACAGCTATAATGACCGGGCGTTCTATTCCAGTGAAGACGGTAGGTAACGCCAATCTTCTCTATATCTTTCCAGTTTCCACGGATGTCCCGAAGAACCACCCTGTGACTATTGATCATGCACCTGGTCACACACACACACAGAGTCACTCCACTATAGAGCATTCTACGTGTATCTAGACAGACCCAGATGCATATCCATCCGGGTGTATCTGGGGGATCCTACCGTCCAGCTTAGTTGAGCCTGCCTGAACTCTTAAAGACTCCGTGTCCGCGCGCGCGCGCGCGGGTGTGTGTGTGTGTGTGTCCGTCTGTCTCTGTCTGAGGAGGTAGCATGAGAGAGACAACGGTAAGGTTGGGACATGCGTTTACTTCCCAGGAGGGAGATTCAATTTGATCGGGAGCGAGATTATCACCATCATGGCAGCACCGAAAGGAGAAACCATGCGGGAGTAGAGTGAGAGTGTTTGTTTGTGTGTTTTGAAACCTTTCAAGACATAAGCTTTGTCCAATGATCACAGCGTAATGGGGCCTGCGCCAAACTCTTAAAGACTCCGTGTCCGTCCGTTTCCGTCCGTGCGTGTGTGTGTGTGTGTGTGTGTGTGTGTGATGATGTGTATGCGTCTGTGTGTGTGTGTGTGTGTGAAG